TTAGCTTTTGGTCTTGAAAATACGCATCATTTTCACCTTCAAATGGTTATTTAGACGATATGTTTTATTTGAACCAAATTACCGTATCATGGATACTATTTGCTAATGAGTTCAGGGCTTTCGCCCTAATCCTTACTAGAGGAATTTAAAAATAAATTGTAAGTTTCTATATTTCTTTATTTTTAGAAAAACGGCATTTTTAAGTGGTTAATTGAAGGCTTGGTTTCAATCTTATTTATTTATATCAAATGGCGGGCGTTTTGATAGTTTTCATTAGCCCTTTAGTTGACTTCAGGCTTCACAGAGGGGAAGGAATATCAAAACGAAAAAAAGTCGAGAGGGGGGAGGAACAGAAGAACGTTTCAAAGATGTAAAAGAGACAGACACAAAGGTAGATGAAAGGTGAGGTGAGTACTGTGAAAGTAGTCGAATATGACATAGAGTGGGGTCATGGTAGTTTGAAGTCAGAAGTCAACTGCCGGTTAATAGACCTTTTTGCCGTATGAGTATGCGTTGGCCAGGGTGCACCACGTGGAGGTAGGTCTATCGCACACCCCTGGTTTCAATCTTAGTTGTAAATATTGTGGCAGATAATTTAATTTGACGTGTATTTGTATTTGCCTAACCCAGTACAGTTCAAACATGTCTGTTTTTTTCGAAAATAGAGTTCATTTAAATTGATTGAGGTATTGCAGGTTTGGAATGGTACTACTTGTGACATTAGAGTTACGGAATCGTTTTGTTGGCATACGTTGGTTGAGTTATTTCTTAGCATGATGGAGTGATAGACGCTGACATAATTCAAAGAAGAACTGACCATTTTACCTCTTAATCAATGAGTAATGAGCTTATCGGTTTCTTTTATCACACTTCTGTTTCCACCAATGAAATTTACGGATTTCTATGTCGGTAGTTGCTAATGCGTGCACCGGTAGTTTATCTGCTACGCTTATAATGACCAAAGTTCGCCTGTGTTTTTTATAGAAATAACGTTTTGTTTAATTAGCTTCTCAATGCTGTATTCATGATGTGGGTAAACAAAGTGAAGGTGTGGGTTAACTTCTATTTGGTCACTATTTAACAGAATTTAACCTCAAGGTCGTGTATGTGTCGTGGCTATACAAAGATTATTCATGTGCTGTGTAATAAAATAAAGAATTCCAATCTAGACCTCTTTCTATTCATTAGTTGCTGCATTAATTACGACCTATTCTATTCTCTGTTGATATATACTAAGCATTACCAGACTCAAGTATTCTATTCTAGCCAATTCAGTGCATATACTTATCAAGAACTTGACCGTTCTCATAGGATTTTCGCTCATGTGGTACGTATATATTGGTCTCCTATGCATTTTTTTGCGGTCGATCAAAATGAGAACTGCATAAAACAAACAGTTGACAAAAATATTATTCCCAGCTATTTTGGTAGAAATCGGCAGGTTTATAGTTTGTGCGCGGTGTAGAACTTTTTTAAATTGTGATTTTCAGGTCATGTACTTCTTATTTGAAACAGAGTTGTTTGTAAGGATATAGTCGAAGTAAAAATTTGGCTCTACTAATACCCTACTATTTTTTACTGGACTTACTTTATTGATCTCAATTTTTCTTATTTCTTTTCACTCTTTTCTTGAAATTGGATCTATTTTCCTTAATTGATATTTGGGTGGGTCTTTAAAAGTTTCGAAAACCTTGACAACCTAAATGGGCAATCGGACGAAGCAATTAATCAATATTGAATTTCGATAGATCGATAATGATCAGTTATCAGTTTTTAAATATAATGCTGGCCTGAGTCGAATATGTATTACCTTTTTTTATTACCGTCTATTAGTTAGTCAATCGTTCTTCTATCCCGACTTATAATTTAAACGGCTGTACTTTCTGGAAAGAGAGAAGGGATACGGTCGTTCCGTGCACGATTCTTCGTCTAGATCCGAGCCACTATAACATTAATAGAAAAGCACCAATTCCGAGTCGTTTTGTTTATATAATCTGAGCCATTATTCCATTTTACCTCTCGTCAAGTCAAAATTAACAATTTTTCCCATCATGAGTAAGCGAATGAAATCGATTGCCAGTAACGCCAATTAGTGACAAAAGGAAGCTTTAATAGAAGAGACTTGGTGAGTGGTACGCCTGTATCAGGGTCTTACTTTATTTTGATTTTTCGGATCAAGTTTCACGAGGGAGTTAATGGTTAAATACTGTTTCCGCTTCCATAATCTGTCGTCTTGATTTCTAAATGGATCGGTTGGTTTATTATAGTGGCGGGTCTGTCTACTTCAGTTCCAGAGATTAATCTTATGAGAGAGTGAAAATAAGTTTAGGTTCTAAAAATATTGCTTTACTACTAATTTTGCATTGATTATGTTTTGGCTTGTCACTGCAACTTTGATCAACTTCATGTTCAAGGGTGGGGGGAGGGGGTGGTGGTATTTACTCCTTGTATTTTATCGACTTTTATTTTTCAGCTACCCTCCCCCCNNCCCCCCCCCCCCCCCCCCCCCCAACTGAATTAGTTTTATCCTAATTTAAAAGAATTTGTGTTTACTTTTAGGACTTTGTCTGCCAATGCCTTCTAGCTTTCTTGATTCTAATCTCTATGATCGTGGCGGCAGCTTTTGGACCATATTCAAACGCCGCTATTGCGGCCGCGGTGAGTAAATTTTTACCTAATTTGAAATTTTATTTTTTTTTAATTTATTATTACTTCCTCAGGGTATTAGTGAAGTGCTTGTGATTTGACTTAACTGAACGTTTATCTAATTGGTTTGCTGCTAAGCTAACCTCCTGCGCTTCTGACTAGATGGTTTCAAACATTGTCCTAAATATCAGCTGTTATCATCTGGATAGGCAGCGGTATCTAAATTTTGTTTCTTCTACCTCTAATCTACTTACTGAATCTCAGATGTGTTTTCGAAATAGATATTAACTTAAAGTCGCGCATTTTGAATGGGTTTAAAGAATGTACGAAAATTAAATTTTATCATTATCAAATCCACGCAAATCCAAGGCAAATTTTAAAAGCCTAAACTTACTTTTATTTCATTTTTTTATTTACGTTATCAATTTTCATTTGAAGTGGTGTTTAATGACGTATTTTGAAGTGAAGGTTTCGTTCCAGACTGAGGTCAAAGTAGATTGAAACATACTTGCATTTGTACCCTGAAAGATTGTTGGTGTTGTTGCAGATAATGCCTGTTGTCTAGGCACGCAACCTTAGACCGTTAAAATGCACCCATATGTTAACGAAATGGAAACATGTAACTTTGCAAAGCCAGTCAATAAGTTGAACAACTTCGATGACCGAAAATACAAACTTTTAAAGGTGGACTTTAAACTTTGCTAATTGCATAACAAATCGGTTATTAGTTTAAAGGAAGGACAATGAGTCATGGGTAAAACAATAGGAAGAGATAAACCGATCTTCTAATTAAGAGGCTGTGGCTGTAGTCGAATTTAATGCTACTTGACCTCAAAACTGTGGTAATTTAAAATCAATTCTGGTTATACTCAGTTTTAGATGGTAAAAATGCTAATTCAAAATCAAATCATATGATTTCGGTATTTCTGCTTCCTTTTTTCATTATTTTATTACCTCGTGGTAATAAGAAATGAGGTTTCATCTATATTACACTGAATATGTATGTTCGACAAAGGCAGTTTTATACTCTCTATATATGTGCAAGTTTGTGTGGATTATGCCTGTTTGCTAATTCTCATTAAGTAACTCTATAGATTTATCGTACTACTGAATTTCGCGTTACGGTAACAGTATTCAAATGTTGAGGCAATTGTGTACCAATGTAGGGGAATACAAACCTTTGCTCTTAAAATTCAATCTCAACTTAAATTTTTTTCGAATTTTCTTTGAAAACTTTGGGTAGAAATAATACTGGCGCAAAAGCTCTAACTGTGCCTGAAGATATGCAAAAGCCTTGGTTTCAAGACTGAAGGTATAAAATTGAAGAATAGTGATTGTTTCAGTCGCTTATCACGATCGGGAAAGCCTCCCTATTGAAATTTTAGTTTAGACTTTAATCAATTTGAGGTCCCAGTCTTTTTTACCTCACTATTATTGTCTTTAATCTATTGCTAAATCATGTTTTGCGGGAATTTTTAATTCAATTTCTTATCATGTGGGGTAGCATGTTGGTAATTCCAATTACTATTTGGTTCGGGATATAATATGCAGCATTGCTTGATTAAAGGAATTGGAATAGTCGTGTGCACCTTTTAACTTGTGTTTGTTTTAACACGCCGATTCTTTCATTCTCGCATCAATCGGCAAGTAGCCTTGATTTGTGTTGATTTTGCCTTAAATCAGACCTCTGTGTTGTTTAAATTAATTGTCAATTCTAGTGCTCTATTTGTTAACCTGGTTGTAGGTTCGTACTTGCAGAGAAATGTTTTTTTTGGAAACATTTGAAATCGCTTTACAATAAGTCAAGCGAATAATAGACCAGACTTTATCAGGGCCCTACTTCATTCGATGTTTTTCTTCAAAATGACATTTCACGTTCTAAGGTTCAACTTTCGCAATTCCTCCCCTAGATTTTCACAAAAATTGGTTTCCCCGCTATTTTCAGTGTCTATTGACTGGCGTTATTGAACCGGTAGGGCGGTTTTGCCTTTTGGTGTTCTATCTTCTTTTTGCCTGCACATGTTTGCGAAGGCAAATATTCTTGCATGACATTCTGCAGTCTACAACTCTGCCATAGCAAGGTTGAATTTGCTAAAATTGTCGGTTTTTTGGCCAAGGTTCATAAGCTGTATTCACTAATGGTGAACCCATTTTAATGCTCATTTTAACTTATTAACAGGGTTAAATTGCCGATTTTCTTTCATGCTTATATTTGTTATGCGAAATATTTACAAGTAGACCTAAGGGTAGCTTCACTCGTTTTGGCTGAATCGTGACAAAGGTATTAGTTTATTTAAATTTTCACTGATATTTTCTCAGAGGCGATTGAATTTGCTTTGTTTGCAAAATGAAAAGTGAGTTTTTTTATGCAAGAATCTTTTTCATCTACAAGGTATTCGCATATTTCGTTCATGGGAGAAAAGAACCAACTTTCAAACTAGGGATATTTTGATTGTCTTTTTTTGCTAAAAATTGCCCGATTTGTCGGTCATAATTAAATGAAGTGAGTTTCTTAATCGTTACTAATTTAATAAGTTTATCGTTTACAAGTATTGTCTAAAAACATTCTACTTTTAAGGCTTCGTTTACTGTCTCAATATGTGTTTCATTTCCGCCTGAATCAACAGTGTCAATTTCCATATAACCAAGCTCTTTTCAATGACAATAATTTGTGGTGTAGGGAAATTTATTAGTCATTCTAAAATATTTTGGGGCATTTAAACAGACTGCATTTTCTTTAATTTTTGGCTAAAAGGGCTTTTTTCCTGCATTTATTTTAGTCCATCAAGGAGGGAAATTCGTTTAGTTTAAATGGCATTTATGTGGGCGCATTTTCAATCAAATTGCAATGCGCTATCTGGTCTATTTATATCAGTCTATAAAATTTCAGTGCAAGGCATTTTTTACCTATGTCTACACGTCTGCAGTTCAATTGAAATTTTAAAAGTAACGGAGATGGCGCAAGCATATTACCCATAATTGTACGATTTATTCGGTAGAATTGATTTATTTAGGCGATTTGATAGTCTTCGCTAGCCCTTTAGCAGACTTCGGACTTCATAGATGGGAAAAGAAGCGTGATTCACATATGTAAAGGGACAGAGGGACGCGAAGGCAGAGAAAAGGTAAGATGAGTACCGTTGAAGTGGTCGAATTTGGCATACAGGGAGTCATGGTAGTTTGAAGTCATTAGTCAACTCCCGAATAATTGACTTTTTTGCCGTATGAGTATACTTTGCCCAGGGTGCACCACGTGAAGGTAAGTCTATCGCGCACCCCTCATTCGGTAGATTACCTTCCATTGATAATAGGTAAACATGCATTTGTCTGAGCATTCCTTTTCAGCTTTCACAATCAAGGTCTGATGTATTGTGACCCTCTCGGATCAAGTTATGCCAATATTTTAGCTTATGCTTAACGTTTAAGTAATGTAAGCCATATCAAGACCTGAAATGAAAAATAATGTACTTTGCGTTGTCCATTGAATTGATCAGTAGTGTTTGAGGAGTTGTATAACTTTCACTTTCGAGTCATCTCTTGATTTTAAACACTTTTATGTGCTTGCTTGTTCTTAAGAAATTATGCACCTGAGTTATTTTAGAGCATTTCTTTCAACTAAAACATTGATGTTAGTACATTAGTGCATTACCGTCGACTGCACTGGGTGGTCGTTCACATAAACGAAGACTGGTATTCCATACATTTTCGTTATCTCGTTTTTTTATAAATTTGTTGATATCTCTTTGCTATCTCATCAAATTCATCTGTGTACTGTATTGAGGAGAATGAAATCCAAAGCAAGAACAGTACTCAAAATTGTAAGAACTCTGTTCAATAAATCAAGCGTTCTATTTTACTCTACTTATAAATCACACTGAAAAATTTAAATTTTGCTCCATATTTGGGAATCCTTAATCCTTTAACGCCCGAATTATATTTTTTTGTGTTCTAAAACAATTTTTCCCACTATTTCTCTTCTGTTATGAGTCTTGTATCAACGAGCTTATTTTGAAAGGGGTTCGTACAGTACTGCAGGGCTAAGCATTGAGTTGAGATTAAACTTCCATTTTTAACGTGACATAGGTTGTGACTTGGGGGAACATCGGTACTAGCGAAAGCCTTTTCAGTACCTCTCTACTTTTTCCCCCCTCTGATATTCGTGTAGCAGGTTGATTAGATCTACAATGTTCTTAACATGGCATCTTACCGCATCTTTTACCTCTTTTACAGGTGTTTCTGGCTTTTCTATCACTATGCTACTTGATCGAAACTTTGGTTCGATTCTCTGTGCATCGTGAGGGTGATCGAATGGTTGTGGCCACCCATGGAGTTTTCCGCAGTAGTTCTACCGGAGGCGCAGCTTTTCAACGGGCGCCAACAACGGAACCTGCTACAGACGGGTATGGAATGCCCTAGATAGAGGTGGATGAATCAATAAATCATCTCCTCTTCCTTCTCTGAAGGTGAAATAAACTTGGAAAAACACCAACCTCTCGCTATTCTATCTGTACCTTTACTGCTAAGTATATATTCTCTCTCCCTTCCATATGCTCTTCCCCTCGTTTCGTTCTCCCCCCCCC